GCCACTCTCTGGAAGGAGACCTTGCACAATAGGAAGGTGAATTTGGCCATCAGTTGTTTTAAGGATAGAAGTTGGTTGGTGGGCCAGTTCCTCAGGAAACGAAGGACAACATCCACATCCCATAAGTGCTGGTATTTAGGTGTTGGTGGTCGTCTTAATTTGATGCCCCGTAGTAGACGACATATTAGTGGATCCTGTCCGACCGCCCTTCCTTGCGACGGTACGTGTGCTGCCGAGATAGCCGATCTCATAACATTGATAGTGCGATATGACTTGCCTTCCTCGAAGAGAGACGAGAGGAAATTCATGATATCAGAAACAGGGGCTGTAAAGGGATCCAGGTCCCGTTCCATGCACCAACTGGTCCAGGATCGCCATGCGGATAAGTAACTCTTTCGTGTTCCCGGGGCCCAGGAGTCCCATAGGAGGTCCTTAGTTGTTGCCGATAAGTCGTTGGTACACCATGCTCCCCTGAAAGAGTCCAGGCTACCAAGAATAGGCGTCCGTCTAACAGCATCGGGTGCGGGTTCCCCGCTGGGTCTCTGAGTAGCATGTCGTCGTTCGGCAGTAGAATCGGGTCCTGGTAGGACAATTCGAGAAGGTCCTGGAACCAGGGTTGACTCGGCCAGAGGGGCGTCAGGAGGGTTAGCCGCACTATTCGTCTTCGTATATGGTGGAGAACTCTCGCAATCATGGCGAATGGGGGAAAGGTGTACGCCCCTTGCCTTGGCCAGTGTTAGGTGAAGGTGTCTACGGCCAAGCATTCCGGGTCTGGGAGCCAGCTGTAGAACTGTGGTACCTGGTGATTGTTGCGTGAAGCAAACAGATCCAGTAGAAAGGGTCCTTTCTGCTCGTGTAGTTGAACGAATATCCGCGGGTTCCATTGCCAGTCGCTGGCGTCTCTCCAGTGTCTGGAGAACCAATCTGCTGTAAGGTTCGACTCCCCTGGTAGGTGTTCTGCGCGTATCGTAATGTTGCGCGGGAGGCAGTAATCAAAGATTTCCGTCGTCAGATTTACCAGTGTTCGTGATCGGGTACCACCCAAATGATTGATGTACCGCACTGCCGAGATGTTGTCCATTCGTAGCAGTATACAACAGTTGGATTGTCCTTTTGCTAGGCTGCGTATAGCAAATGACCCCGCCAGTAGTTCTAGGCAGTTGATGTGCATCGATAGTTCTTGTGGTGTCCACTTTCTTCCTGTGGATGCTTCTCCATCCGTGGCGCCCCACCCCAGATGACTCGCGTCCGATTCCAGGATGAAGTCCGGTTGGTTGCCGAAGATAGCCCGACCATTCCACTCTTGCATACAGTTGAGCCACCATTCGAGTTCTTGGTATACTTCTTCCGTCAGCGGAACTGGTTGATTGTATGTGGGGTTCCGTCGCAGGAAGCTGGCTTTCAGCCGTTGCATAGCACGGTAGTGAAGGGGCCCCGGAAATATGGCTTTTTATCGATGAGGACAGTAGGCCAATGATCCGTGCCAGTTAACGGAGCAGAATGGAGTCTAATTTGAGTACTCTGCGGATCTCTCTCTTGATGGCCATCACTTTGGCAGTCGGGAGGTGGAGAGTGCAAGACCTGGAGTCTATCTCGAATCCCAGGAATTGGATTTTCTGTACGGGGTTCATTGAGGATTTGTCTCTGTTGACGATGAAGCCCAAGGATTCTAATAATTGTACCGTATATTCGGTATGTTGGATGGCCAGTTCCCTCGTTCTGCAGAATAAGAGAATGTCGTCCAGATAAATTATGCATCTGATCCCATGGGTGTGTGACCACTGGTTTCAACATTTTTGTGAAGCACCATGGTGCCGCACTCAGTCCGAAAGGCACGTGAATTGCCATGGTGCGGCTGTCCTCGTGAATTGGGATCGATAAATATGCGTCTTTGAGGTCTAGACGCATAAACCAATCCTTTTCTTGAAGGAGGTCCCTCGGTAAGTGTATGCCCTCCATTTTGAAGTGACGGTAGGTCACATGAGCATTCAGATCTCTTAAATTGATCATCGGTCTGAAATCCCCGGTTTTCTTGCGGATGAGGAACATATTGCTGAAGAAGCCTCCTCGTTTGTGCACGGGTTGTATAGCGCCCTTCTTGTGTAGTTCGCGGAGCTCCACATCTATGAGGTAAGCGTCCGGAGCAGAGAGGCGTAAAGGACGAGGAGGAAATCTCTGTATGGGGGTTGTTCGTACTTCGATTCGGTATCCGTTGACCGTCTGCAATACCCAAGCATCCGTAGACAATTGAGCAGTGGTGTATCCTGGTTTTGTGCTGGCCTAGGCAGGACAAAACTCACCCCCCCACCCCCACGCCAGCCCCACCCAACCCTTCCCCCCGCCCCGCCTTCTAAATACACACACACACATTCACTGACAGACACACACACACACTCACTAACAGACACACACACTCACTAAGAGACACACACACTCACTCTAACAGACACACACACACACTCTAACAGACACACACACACTAACAGACACACACTAACAGACACACACTGACACACACACACACACACTAACAGACACACACACACTGTCAGACACACACACACTTACAGGCACAAACTGTCAGATACACACACACACACACTGACAGACACACAGACACACACAATAACAGACACACACACACACACACAGTCAGACACACACATACACACAGTCAGACACACACATACACACTAACAGACACACACAGTCAGACACACAGATACACACTAACAGACACACACAGTCAGACACACACTAACAGATACACACTAACTCACTAGCAGACACACACTAGCAGACACACTCACACAGTCAGACACACACACTCACATTAACACATTTTTTTTTAATTTACCCCCCCCCTCCCCAGCATTCCCAGGTTCTCTATCTCCCTGGTGGTCCAGTGGCTACGCGCGGCGCTGGGCTGGGCGGGCGGCTGGCGAGGGAGCTCTTCCTCTGAGCTGTCCGCTCAGCTCCCTCGCGCGCCGCAGAGTGAGGCTGGGAGCCGGAAGATGACATCTTCCGGCTCCCAGCCTCACTCTGCGGCGCGCGAGGGAGCTGAGCGGACAGCTCAGAGGAAGAGCTCCCTCGCCGCCCGCCCGCTCGGCATGTCTGTTAGCCACGAGGCTAACAAGGCATTTGCCCTGGGCATTTGGGGGCGGCATTTTTTGCCGCCCCCTGAAAAATGCCGCCCAAGGCAAATGCCTTGTTTGCCTCGCGGCTAAAACGCCCCTGCAATTGGGCCCAGTTCTGGGAAAAAAGAGAAACACGGCCCGCAATCATGGTTAGTTGCGGCATCGAGAAATATTGGTCTCTTACCTGTTGGGAAGCTTGCGCGGGTGCTTCCATGACCACCCCGTCCTCTGACTACGCCCCTTTGATAGTAGGGGTAGTGTTGTTTAGCTCCGGTGCCCTGATAATTTTGTTGCTGGTAGAATTGTTGTGAATAACCCATGCAAGAGCCTGATGGCCAGATCGGCCAGCCTTGGAAAAAACAAAAAAAAGGGGGTGCCTCGGAAGACCTTGCGTATGGATGTGCGGGCTTTATTCAGTGAGGTAAATATGTTGACATGTTTATTCAGCTCTTTCATAAAGGCTTCACCGAAGAGTTTGCCCTGTGCCTGTGGGTCCAGTTCCTTTACCCCTAGATCAGCCAGTTTGGGGTCTATGCGGAAAAGTGCTGCACGGCGCCGCTCTGTTGAGAGGGCCGCATTCGTATTTCCGAGAAAACAGAAGCCCCTCTGAGCTCATTCTCGGATATCATGTGCCCACTCCGCTCTGGCTTGGCATCATCTGCCAGGTACAATGATCGGGCCAACGGCCCCATCATGTCCAGGAGCTTGTCGGGTCGTGGCCTCCTTGCTCCATGAATGTCAGCATGAGCTGATCGAACTCTGGTGTAAACGCCACCTTATCTGGCAGAGTCGGTCTGGGACACTCCGCCCGCATCCTCTTGCATATGTGTTTTTCCAGGGGTTTACGTATCCATAAATGCATAAACCAGAGGAGGTGATCAGGTGGAGCCCATTCCCCAGAGCGGGGGTGGTGAATGTTCCTGGGGTCAAACATTCTCTGACCCGTGGTGTCTAGGAATATCTCTTGTTCCTGTGTGGTTGTGGCGGAGGGTTCCGTGTCTCTTTTTTGGTATCACATATTACTGTAGGTGAAAGTTTAGGATCCAGTGATCATCAGTCAGTGTGAGTCACACCACACAAAAACAAAAGTTTTAGACTTTAGAAAAACAGACTTTTCTAAAATTAGAATATGTGTAGAGGAGTCATTATCAGACTGGAGCAATTTAAATGGAGTCCAAGAGAAATGGGATTATTTAAAAGTTGCACTATTGAAGGCAACAGAAAATTGCATTAGGCTTGTCAGTAAAAGCAAAAAATTCAAGAAACCACTGTGGTACTCCGCAGATGTGGCCAAAATAGTTAAAAACAAAAAGTTAGCATTTAAGAATTATAAAAAAACCCAGAGTGAGGAAGACAAAATGATCTATAAGATTAGGCAGAAAGAGGCTAAGCAAGTTATAAGAGCTTCCAAATCACACACAGAAGAGAAAATAGCACAGTCAGTAAAAAAGGGGGATAAAACATTTTTTAGATACATAAATGAGAAAAGAAAAGTAAAACAAGGATTAGTTAGATTAAAAACAAAAGAAGGAAGGTATGTAGAAGAGGATAAAGGTCTAGCTGACTGCCTCAATTAATATTTTTGTTCTGTATTTACAGATGAAAATGAAGGAAAGGGACTTGAGTTAAGAAAAATGATAAATGAGTAATTTATTACATGTGAGTTTACAGAGGAAGAGGTTCTATTTCAACTGTCAAAAGTAAAGACAAATAAGTCAATGGCACCTGATGGAATACACCCAAAGCTATTAAAAGAGCTTAGTGGTGTACTAGCAAAACCATTAACAGATTTATTTAACCAATCATTGTTAACAGGAGTAGTCCCAGAAGATTGGAAGTTAGCGAATGTTGTGCCCATTTACAAGAAAGGTAATAGGGAGGAGTCGGGCAACTATAGGCCAGTAAGCCTTACTTCAGTAGTGGGGAAAGTGATGGAAACCATGTTAAAGGATAGGATTGTTGGACATCTAAAAACACATGGATTTCAAGATCAGAGACAACATGGGTTTACTTCAGGGAGATCATGCCAAACTAATCTTATTGATTTTTTTGATTGGGTAACTAAAATTATAGATCAGGGTGGTGCAGTAGACATTGCTTACCTAGATTTCAGTAAGGCTTTTGACACTGTTGCACATAGAAGGCTTATCAATAAACTGCAATCTTTAAGTTTGGATTCCAATATTGTTGAATGGATAAGGCAGTGGCTGAGTGACAGGCAACAGAGGGTTGTAGTTAATGGAATATATTCGAAGCTTGGACTTGTCACCAGTGGGGTACCTCAGGGATCTGTACTTGGACCCATTCTCTTTAATATTTTTATTAGTGATATTGCAGAAGGTCTTGATGGTAAGGTATGTCTTTTTGCTGATGATACTAAGATATGTAACAGGGTTGATGTTCCAGGAGGGATAAGCCAAATGACAAATGATTTAGGTAAACTAGAAAAATGGTCAGAATTGTGGCAACTGACATTTAATGTGGGTAAGTGCAAGATAATGCATCTTGGACGTAAAAACCCAAGGGCAGAGTACAGAATATTTGATAGAGTCCTAACCTCAACATATGAGGAAAGGGATTTAGGGGTGATTATTTCTGATGACTTAAAGGTAGGCAGACAATGTAATAGAGCAGCAGGAAATGCTAGCAGAATGCTTGGTTGTATAGGGAGAGGTATTAGCAGTAGAAAGAGGGAAGTGCTCATGCCATTGTACAGAACACTGGTGAGACCTCACTTGGAGTATTGTACACAGTACTGGAGACCGTATCTTCAGAAGGATATTGATACCTTAGAGAGGGTTCAGAGAAGGGCTACTAAACTGGTTCATGGATTGCGGGATAAAACTTACCAGGAAAGGTTAAAGGATCTTAACATGTATAGCTTGGAGGAAAGACGAGACAGGGGGGATATGATAGAAACATTTAAATATATAAAGGGAATCAACACAGTAAAGGAGGAGACTATATTTAAAAGAAGAAAAACTACCACAACAAGAGGACATAGTCTTAAATTAGAGGGACAAAGGTTTAAAAATAATATCAGGAAGTATTACTTTACTGAGAGGGTAGTGGATGCATGGAATAGCCTTCCAGCTGAAGTGGTAGAGGTTAACACAGTAAAGGAGTTTAAGCATGCAAGCTATCCTAACTATAAGATAAGGCTAAGGACTAATGAAAGTATTTAGAAAATTGGGCAGACTAGATGGGCCGAATGGTTCTTATCTGCCGTCAATTTCTATGTTTCTATGTTTCCTTTATTCTGGGGATCACCCAGGAATGTCTCCATGACGTAGGCGTTGGAGCCCCAACCACCTTCGTCAGAGTTGGAGGCCTCTGTCTGCCACTCATCCAAGATGGAGAGGGAGTGGGGCATATCTTTTTCCTCATCCGAAGACACCTCCCTAGTGTACGTGGGAGTGATGGTCATAGCGCGCTTACTGCGCTTTAGTGGCGTCTTGCCTTTGAAGGCGGCCTTTTTGGACTCCTTGCCCTTCCAGTGGCATTTCGCCGGGCGGTCTTTCTCTTTAGAGCAGTCATCCGACTCATCTGAGTCATCTTTGTTCTGGCGTTGCTTGCTAGCTGAAGTGGTAGATTCAGTGGCTGTAGGTATTGCCTTCGCTAATGCCTTTTCTAAGGATGCAGCCACCGCTGCATTGATCATGGCCTGAAGATCACTAGTATTTATTGTGTCTTCCATTGTACGGGCACTAACAGGCACAGGTATAGGAGTCAGAGGTGAGGGACTGTGTGGGAGGGACTTAGACAGGCCGTCGGCCGTATAACTGTTGTAACTCAGTGGCGTGAAATCGGACTCTTTAGCACTGGCGCTCACCCAGGATATCAGAATAGCTTCCGTTATGCATCACTCAGGGACAAATCCCAAATGGGGGCTCACCCCTTGCCAGTTTACTGGGCTAAACCTTACTGGCAGTCCTACTTCCCAGGGGTAATGTCACCAACCTGTGTAGGTCCCAAGTAGACTTCACCTCCAATTCTGCTTAAATATCTCGCTCAAACAAGAGCCTTGTCCTGCTGTGTGTTGTATTCCTCCCAAAATTTTGTCAACAAAATGGCCGCCGCGGGTCTCGCGAGAGACCCTGGGGCGTCAGAAAAAGCCAGCAAAAAAAATGGTGATAGCTGAAGCGTTCGGCAGAAAATCCTCGAACGGCAGTTCGCTTATAGACTAAACTGGCGAACGCTTCTGGTGGAGGAAACCCACGAACGACTGGTTCCCTGCTAAGTTTGATAACCGTCCGTTTGTGCAAATCTCCTTGCAACCGTATGATAACGTGCGCAGAGCGACACGAACCGCGACTGCCCGCTCTGTTCGCGCCTTTTTCCAATTTCCAGTACGAACAGGAGGGCGGCGTCCTTTCGTCGAAATGCACAAAGTCACTATGTAACCCGGTCTGTTCGCATAGCTGATGATGCGAACAGAGCGGGAAGGAGACGAGAAAGGTGGCGAACGAAGCCACTCGAGGAGACAGGGAGGTGGGTGGGGGCGGAGGGGGTCAGAAACAGAACGCCGTAGCCTCAGTGGGTCTCTGCAAATACAAAGCAAATGGTGGGTACTAAAGATACAGCAGATAACTTAAGCACAATACTTGTTGACACTTAAAATAGGACTAATCATAATACTGGGAAGCTCATTCCTTGAACCTTACACCCACATGAGATGTAAGATCAGCCCCACTGAGGGGAGAAACGATAGCCCCTCTAGAAGCTCTCCTGCCACCCCCAATATAACAGATGTTAGATACCAAAGATAGTAATATGCAGTAAATCTATACAAAAGATCCTGCATAACAAAATACAATTAAGAAATCAGTACTCTGACCTGACTTGTGATGGAGCAGCAAAGAAAGAGTAAATGATTGGCTACGCTTGGACTTATATACACCCTGACTTACTCTTTCTTTAACAGTTTTTTTTCTTTGCTGCTATGGAGTTAGTAAAGAAAGATAATGCAAAATAGGAAGCCTCCTTTCATGTTATAAAATTAAAACAGAAGATTCAAAAACCAAACCCTGGTGTCTAAAGAAAAAAAAATCAATGAACCTTTATCACATATTCAGTGTAGTAACACTAAGCGTTTCTTAGGCATGGAAACATAGTAAAAAATAATCTATAAGGATAATAGTATGCACGTTACCTAGGCTGGGTGTAAAGAATGTCTTTGTTACTATATACCTGCAAACAGTGTGTTGTATTTTCTACAAATGCAGAGTGGTATACGGAGCCAGCATGAGGGATCTCGGGACTGGAAAGAGGTGTTAAAAGTATTTTTTTTCACGGGGACGGATGGATAATAACCTTAGGGCAGAGCAACAATACAGAGTTATGTATACAGTTTTGTATTCCTAATGCTATAGTGGTCCTTTAAAGCTTCTAAATCAAAACTAAAGGAACATCTAACCCCATAGCAACTCCAGCTTATAGAAGTTGTTATGGTGGTAGGATTGTACTGGCACTGACTTACCTTACTGTCATCCAATGTACTACTTCTCTCAATGGGAAGCCACGGATCAGCTAAGAGCATCAAAAAACCTTCCCCACACAGAGAAGAAGGGAGCTGGAGGCAGCTGGGGGCTATTATGAAAACAGCTTACCCTCTGCAGGCACCTGGACACTCCTGCTCCAATAGGAATTTCAAAGAGCTGAAGTTGTTATAGGAAGGGAACAGGGCCGGACTGGGGAGAAAATTCGGCCCGGGCATTTTTTAATTACAGGGGCCCACTAAAAAGGGGGCGGGGCCAGATAGGGTGTGTTTTGTCATCACCAATGACAAGCACGCCCCATCACAAAGTGAGAATATTGGTTCAATGCTCTTCCAGGGTAGACCATGTGCAGAGCTCTGCTGAAGAGCTCTGGCATGAGAAAAAGACCCTGTATTTGTTCTGCACAGCGCAAGCAAATTCAATAACCTGCTTGCACTGTGTTTGCTTGAAATTTGTCTCTGGTTTCTCCATAGTTGGGATACCAGGAGACAAAAATGCTAGGAAAGCATATTGTGCAGGGTGTGTGAGGGTACTGTGTGTGTGTAAGGGGTGTAGTGTGTGTGCGAGACGGGTGCAGTGTATGTGTGTGAGGTGTGTAGTGTGTGTGTGTGTGTGTGAGTGATGGGTGCTGTTTGCATGAGGGTGCTATGTGGGTAAGGGTGCTGTGTGTGTGTGCTGTGTGTGAGTGGGTGCTGTGTTTGCGTGAGGGTGCATACAATGATCCTCGTCTGAGCTGTGGAAGCAGACACGCCAACTCACAGTATCACTGTCCACAACGTTTATAAAGTTTTGGTTAATGTATGTTCCCTTGTCCACCCTCCCTATTCTCCTGGTATTGTTCCCATAGTTCCCATGTTCTGCCAAATTTTTTGGTGGTGTGCCTGACCAATGAGGTTAACCTGTCCATATGGTAGTTATCCTTTATCTTTGCTAAAACTAGCGTTTCCAGGCAGAGCCATTTTTGCGCTAGTGCCCTTCGGGCCGCCAGGTAGATCATGTTTAACAGTTGTTGCTCTGGGCGTTGGGAGGCCATCTGTTGGCCTGGAGAGGAGGCAGGCCCAGGGGTCCAACCCTAGAGGCCTCTGCAATATGTTCGAGCTAAGGTTGGTGATTTGAACCCAATAAGCCTGTACTGAGGGGCATTTCCACCACATGTGCACATATGTGCCTTGTTCCCCGCAACCGTGCCAACATTGGTCAGTGGAGGCGATCTGCATGCGGAATTGTTTTAGTGGTGTGATGTACCATCTGAAAAGCGTTTTGAATGATTGCACTTGGAGGGTGACACATATGGATGATCGTGCTGTGGCGTCCCAAATGTCCTGCCAGTCGGAGCCCTCTAGTGTCTCTCCCAGGTCTGCCTCCCATTGGTTTGTGTATCGGAGCTCCCCCCACTCCTTGGCTTCCCCACTAAGGTGTGAGTATAGTAATGAGGTAAGTCCCTTGGGGTGTTTTTCCTGATAGCAAATGTTCTCAAACCAGGTGAGGGAGAGGGTGGCCGTCTCCTTGACTCCTTTGGAGCTAGCAAAGTCTCGTAGTCCCTCATTTTTAAATTTGCTTTTAAGTAAAATTTTGTGATAAAATAAAGTTCAGCCTAGTTTTAATGTAATAAAATCTGTGTTGTTTATTTTTCAATGTTCAATAAATATTTT